TTACAAATTTTCAACGCTATTACTAAACACTGAGGATGTCTTGATGTCCTGTGAAGTCCTGTCCACATCGATGGCATACAGTTGGTTGCCGTCGAACACAATTCTGGTGCTCTGGTAGTTGACGGGTGTATGCGATGTCCGGACTGTCCGTTCACTCGATGGCAGCCATACATCGTCGCCGGAAAAGTCAAAAAATCGCATCAAATACAGGACGCAAATGAATATTATTATTAATATAATTAACATAACAAACGACAAAACAAACATAATATCACCCAAAAGTGAATTCATATTTAATAAATAGTTTACTCAATCGATGTTAACTTTGAAATGCTTGCATTGAAATGAATAATAAATTTTTAGTTAGAAAAACAAAATGAGATTTTATTTTTATTTTTAGACACCAATTGTTAAATACTGTACTGTTATATGTTTTCATAATATAATATAACATTTTTCTCTACATAATAATGAATTTTCCGGTTAATTATCAGACGTTGCAGTTATTGCCTCGCATTCAGTGCTTTAGGCAACTGTTGAACTCTTCACAGAATATTCCGCACAAAATAATGTCATTCGTAACACATTTATTGCATTCAAACAAAATAATATCTTTGAAAAATTATATCATTTGTTAAATAATAATATAATGAATATTCATATAAGTAAATAATATTATTTTTAATTCTTATAAAAATTGTATTTAATTTATGAGAAATTAAATCATGGATTCTGTTTAGCAAACACATCTTTTCTCCATTTCTCACCACCAATACACCAGTTATACTGCTTTGGGTATTGAAACGCCTGTCCATCGGCCAGAGCATCAGCCGCCCTATATGGCCAGTGCGGCTCATTTAGGAAGGCCCGGGCGATGAATATAAGGGATGCCTTGTTTTGCTGCAAAATACTCTCTGCCATCTGAGGATTAGTGATATTGCCGACCGCACCGGCGGTTATCCCAACCTCTTTGACAAACTGTTCCGAACCATTCAATTGAATCTCAGGCGAAATCTTGTAATCAACACCAGAGACAACACCACCGGAACTGGAGGTAATGTAGTCGACACCCAACGCCTTCAAGCGTTTGGCAAACTCGACGCTCTGTTTGACATCCCATCCGTTGTCGGCGTAATCACTGACCGACACCTTAACCCCCAAAACAATGTCTTCGGGCAAAGCCTTTCTCACACTTTCGGTGATTTCGAGACCGAAACGCATTCTGTTCTCAAGACTTCCTCCGTATTCATCGGACCTCTTGTTAGTGACGGGCGACAGGAATGTACTGATGAGATATCCGTGCGCGAAATGCAACTCTATTACCTGGATCAGTCAATACAAATACAAAATAAGTAATCAAAACAATAATATCTTGTTATACGAGACCTGAAAGCCTGCTTTGAGTGCCCGAAGAGCGGCCGAAACAAAGGCACTGTTAATCTGTTTGATGTCTTCAACGGTGGCCTCTTTGGGCACTTTTGCGATGTATTTGTCGTCGAAAGGTATGGCCGACGGGGCGATTGTCTGCCACCCGCCCTCTGACTCTGGTATAGAACTGCGGCCCACGAATGGCGGATGAGTACTACCTTTCCTGCCGGCGTGCGCTAACTGTATGCCGGGGACTGCGCCCTGACTTTTCATGAATGTCACGATTCTGGACAACCCGTCCACGTGTTGGTCCTTCCATATGCCCAAACAGTTGGGTGTTATGCGACCCCTGGCCTCCACTCCGGCGGCCTCCATGACCACGAGTGCGGCGCCTCCCCTCGCAAATGAGCCCACGTTTACTAAATGCCAGTCGTTTGCGAAGCCGTCCTCCGAGGAGTACTGACACATCGGGGAGACACTGATCCGGTTCTTCAGGGTTACCCCTCTTAGCTTCAGCGGTGAGAATAGCA